CCTAGTAGCTGGAATTATAGGTGTGGGCCAACATGCCCAGCTTCCTTTCAGTCTTTTTTTGATCTTTTTAAATGAAAGGGGCAGAGAGAGAGCACAATAAGTGAACATGCAAGGGAGCACATTGCTGTTTTTTGTTTGTGATACTGAGGACCAAACCCAGGGCCACTCTACCACTGAGCTACATCCTCAACCCTTTTTATTTTGGTATGAAGTCTTGCTAAATTGCCCGGCTGACCTTGGATTTTTGATCCTGCTGCCTCAGCCTCCCAAGTCTCTGGGATTACAGGCGTGTGCCACCTTACCCAGTGCTATTTGGTTTTGGGATTTTTGTTTGGTTTGGTTTTGGTTTTAGTTTTAAATACAAAAATAAGATAAATACTATTTTCTAACCTGCTTTTTTCTTTATTCACAGTTTGTCATGAATATCTTTCCGTATCAGTGAATAAATTATGGAAGTGGTGGTTTGGTGGTGCTCGACATTGAACATAGGACCTTGTGCATGCTAGGCAAATGCATTACCACTGAGCCACACCCCTAGCTCCTAAATCATGGCTTTTAATGACTACACAAAATATTATTTATGGATTATTTTTTAATTTAAGAAACCTAGAGACTTCCTCAAATTCTAACCTATTTCTTTTTAAGACAGTATTGTTTAATTTATTTGGGTCACATCTGAAGTCTATTTTAATCTTAGCTATTGACTTTGTTTTGCTCTTTTGGCTAGAACTTAATATTTACATACTTTTGAAACCTTTCTCTCTGATGAATTGGGTGAGTTGCCTGTCTAGACATTGGGTCTTCATAATGTGGCTTCATTAAAGATAAACATTGCATGCAGGGGCATGATGTAAGACTCTTGGTGAAAAGAAATTAAAGGCAAAGGTGCAGTGTAAGCCCAAGAAAGACTGTTTCTGGGTATTAGATAATACTAATGAGATAAACTCTTGGACCAGGTGGACTCTAAACTGCTTATACTTAGCTTAAGCCTTTAATAAAAATTAAATACTAAGGGAAGTTTTAACATTATATGAATGATGAGCTTTAAAAATAGATTGGGTGCTCATCTTTAGGAATAAGTAGGGGCAGGAGATAACTTCTCAGACTTACTTCAGTCCTAATATTGCTGGATCAGTTCACTGAAACTTGGAATTGGAATTTCAAAGTTAGGCAATAAATGAACTTTCTTGAAATCGTTACCTCAATTGTGCTATTGCTGTCATATTTTAAAATCAGGGATAATTGTTTGGTTTGGAAAATTAGAAAGGATTTTAGTATTCTTTTCAATGAGAATTTTATTTTGTTAATTAAATGCATCTCATTTGTCTTATCCCGGTCATTTTATTTCTAAGTACTAGGGACTGAAGAAACATTGTAAATGCTGCAGTTTTCAGTAGTAGGATATTATATACAAACTGCCACTTTAAAGTACATTTCTCTGATTGACTTGATAAATTAGATTTTTTTTCACTAATCTCCCCAACAAAGGGGAGGTTTAGAGTTTCTTTCGGAAACCTTAAACAGTGTGGAGGGGAGCATATAAGATGTTTCTTTATGCTTATGGCCCATAGAATTTTATTTAATTCTTCAACCTAGGATCTTGAAGCTTAAAAGAAAATTTTAAAGTGTCATTCTAACCTGTGACATTTTAGAGTTTGTTGTTTTTGTTTGTTTTTTGAATATTTCATCTCATTCTTTGACTTAGGATTAATGTCATGACTTCTGACCTCCTAACTAAAGTTTCACTTCTTTTTAGTAAAAATTTATTAACTATACATTACAGCATTTATAATGTTTCTTTAGATATTATTAGAGGCCTGTGATCAGATTCCAAGAATGCTCAGGTGCTGTTCTTCCACATAAGATATTTAAAATTGAATGGATCTAAGATGTGCCTGTAATTCAAGCATAAAGTCAGTGTGAGATGGCTAGGTCCTTTCCTGTGATATTTTAGGTTTTCTGTTATAATTAGATTAAGCAACAGAGAGTCAAACATTTGAAATGGCACTTAATTGGGCGCAGTGATACACACCTATAATCTCAGTGGCTCGGGAGGCTGAGACAGGAGGGTTGTGAGTTCAAATCCAGCCTCAGCAAAAAGCGAGGTGCTAAGCAACTCAGTGAGACCCTGTCCCTAAATAAAATACAAAAATAGAGCTGAAAATGTGTCTTTGTGGTTGAGTACCCCTGAGTTCAATCCCCAGTAACCTCCAGCCCCTCAAAAAACATTTGAAATGGCACTTGATATTAGAAGTAAAAAAATAAATAACTTAGCATAGTGGTGCATGCCTGTAATCCCAGAGACTCAGGAGGCTGAGGCAGGAGGATCACAAGTTTGAGGCCCTCAGTAGTAAACCACCCCTGGGTTCAGTCCCCCCATACTGTAAGACAGATAGATAGACAGATATAAATACTTTTTTAACAAGAGACAGCTATTGTTTGTACTGTATATCTCTTACCAAAAAACTCTTGCTTCTCGACTTAACCTGATACCTTACTTTATATGTAATATTTATGAAGAATATTTTTTTCCTTTTATCAGCTTTGACTTGGCCAATCAATTGCCACTAATTGATATAGTAACTGTAGATAATTTGTCAGAAACACAGTTCATTTGTTCCCATGCCATTTGTATTTGAGTCTTGCCAGAAATTCTTAGAGCCTTGACAGAGAATAAAAGAGCCTCTAACACATGCAAAAAACTGAACAGTTAGCTCAGAGCTTGCCAAGGCATGCCCAAAGTTAAATATATAACAATATCTGAAGTCTTGTTTATAAGAAATTCTAGTTTACCTGTACCAGGTTTTCTGGTTAATTTAACATGTTTTAGAGTGTTTCTAAAGTCAGTCAGTGCTGAGTGCCACTATTATTATAGCTCTGTGTGTTTACTGCTCCTCCCATTATTTCAACCAACTGGATCTAGATCTTAGTCCATTTAAATTTTAGTTTCTCTTAGCTTCTCATGAGTTAATTTGGTTTTGAATGCTCTATTCATCATGCAGCATAAAGTCAGCAGTACAGTTGTCTCCTACATTTGGCATCAGAGTAATGAGCCTTACATTTTTATTATATCAGCTTTTATTAGAAATAGGCCTTAATGTGGCCACTTATGCTGCTTGTACTTCCCTAACTTTTCCTAGGAATATCAGAATAGAGACACAAAGATAGCCAGGGGAGTCTCACCTCTGCCTTGCTAAATAGGTCACTTGAGCTGTGTAGTTATGGGTTTTTCTCTTTGCCTGACCTTAGAATAGTGACCTAGTTAAGGAGAAAGACTCTAAGAAGAGCAGTACTAAAAGAATTCCAATAGAAATTTCTGTCAAATTTTTAACAACTATCTTGAGCCAGCTAATGGATCAGAACTTACTGTTTCTCTTCTGAAAAGAGGTACAGGGGCTTATACAGGGGAAATTGCCTTCAGAGTATATTTTCCTTGCTTCAAATGATCTGTATTACTACCACTACTATTACTACTGTTAACAACAGAAAACAAAAAGAGTAGAATGACTATTCATTACGTGAGGGAAGAGAATACATCTCTCTTTTCCATCATTAATTCTTCAGCCCTTGAACTGCTGTATACACAATGTAAATATTTCAAATGAGTGTTGCCTAGAAGACATTTTCTTTTTTTTTGGAGAGGAAGAACTGGGGATTAAACCCCAGGGTACTTTACTACTGACCTACATCCCCAGTCCTTTTTATTTTTTATTTTTTAAATTTTAAGACAGGGTCTCACTAATTTGCTGAAGCTGGCTTCGAACTTGAAATCATCCTGCCTCAGCCTCCTGAGTCTCTGGGATTACAAGCATGTGCTACCATGTCTGGCTTTTACCTTATTTTTTAAGGTTTATTCAGTATCTTTTTGAACATCTTATTAAGAAAATTTCCAAACATATCAAAGTAGAAATCATATCTTTATGTACTCAGTACTCAACTTTAAAAATTCGGCCAACATTTTGCCTGAAATCTTTCATCTATCTCCTCACCCTTTTTCTTTCTTTTCTCATCAGAACATTTTAAAGTAAAGCTCAGACACTGTCATTTCATTGCAGATACTCAAGTATAAAGGTATAGTAACCACAGTACCATCATTACACCAACAGTAAATCCTAATTTCATCTAAGATCCTGTCTATTCACATTTTTTGGAAGCCCCTTTTAAAAATAAGCAAAGAGCCAAGCCAGGCACGGTGGCTCACACCTGTAATCCCAGCAATTGGGGAGACTGAGACAGGGGGGTCTCAAGTTCAAAACCAGCCTCAGCAACTTAGTGAGGCCCTAAGCAACTTAGTGAGGCCCTACTCGGCGAGACCCTGTCTGTAAATAAAATACAAAAAAGGGCTGGGGATCAGGGATTAGGCTCAGTGATTAAGTGTCCTTGGATTCAATCCCTGATGCCAAAAAATAAAAAACTAAAAAGCGATGAAAACTTTTGATGAAAAATAATTTGAGAAGCTTCTGAAAAAGGAATCTCCTTTAATTACTATTGAAACTAAAGAAGAATATCTTGTACTTTATAAATGTGCAAAACTTTAATAAAGCATAGTAAGTAACCCCTTGGATAATGCTAGTAGTTTGCTTCATATTATAATTATTTGTAGAAATTACATCTATGAAACCAGTATACACATTCATATTCCTCATTCTCCCCTCTTCCATCTTTTGAACATTTCTCTGGCAACTATTATTATATATTATACTAATAGCAGAAATTTATTGATCTCTTGCTATATGCCAGGCACTATGCTTTACATGCATTATTTTGTAAGATTCTTGAAACAACCTAATAGGTAAGTATTATTATATCTCCCTCCAGTTAATTTAGCAACTTACCAAAGGTTTTATGACTATCATGAGTTGAGATCTGAATTAGGTCTCCTAACTAGTTGTTCTGCTGCCTCCCTTAGTATGCTTTAAGATGCTGATGCAGAAGAGTTAAATGATCTAAAATTTCCTTTTCTAAATCTCATATTTTTTTTGTCATCTATTAACCACCAGGCTGTAAGACTGGAAAGTACTTACCAGAATCGAACACGCTATATGGTGGTAGTTTCAACTAATGGTAGACAAGATACTGAAGAAAGCATCGTTCTAGGAATGGATTTTTCTTCTAATGACAGGTATGGTACCACAAAAAAAGAGGATGTGAAAACCTCCTTTTTAAATAACCTGTTCCTGTACTCCCCCCACTGCCCCCCCCCTTTGGTATAGGGATTGAACCCAGAGATGCTTAACCACTGAACTACATCTCCAGTCCTTTTTATTTTTTATTTTGAGACAGGGTCTCACTAAGTTATTGAGTCTGACTTTGAACTTTCAATCCTCCTGCCTCAGCCTCCCAAATCGCTGGGATTACAGGTGTATACCACCCGCCACAGGCTCTCTAGTTACCTTTTGAGCTATCACAAAAATATCTTGTGTAGCTCTTAAAGTTCAAGGCATAAAATAAAAGAATACGAAAGCATCTTAGCAAGTCTTGAGAGACAGGCATGTTTAGTGAATGTGTTTGGTTGTACATTTCTAATTTATGACTTATTCCTTACCTTTCTTTTATCTTTAATGTTATAAAGCAAATGATTAAATTTATCTCTTCAAAAGAAAAGCTGCTTTTTCATGGCCATCTACTTTATTGTTGGAGAAACCGAAATTTTAACTTTATTTAATTATGTATCATCATTGTATTTTATTTTTTGTTTTTTTAAATAGCCACATGTAGTTAGTGGCAACTGTATTAGAAAGGAAAAATCTAGAGAATAAAAACCAAAACTGAGATTCTAAAATTCTAATGAATGTAGACAAAGTAGGCTTTCTCACAGAAGAATAGTTACTGAAAGATCTGTTTTTTAGGTAACACCAAAAGTTAAAACTGCAGGACAAAGCTTCCTATATGTGTTTGGTGATTGTAGGACACATGTCCTTTGTGGTAATGTAACAGAGATCATGGGTTTAAAGAGATCCAGTCTCATGAATTTATCCATGGTCTTAAATCTTACATTTAGCAAATTGTATGCCTCCCTTTTTCTTCTTCAAAGTTAAAAGAGAGAATGGTTTCTTAAACTCAAAGCAGAACCTTTTATAATAATCCAATAAGGCTGGGAATGGTGGTGTACACCTATAATCCCAGTGGTTCAGGAGTGGTCGAGTTCCCCTGAGTTCAATCCTCAGTATTCCTCCCAAAAAATAAATAATGCAACTTTGGAGTTAGCTGTACTTCACATTCTGTGATTAACATAGAACTTGGCTTTTTTGTGTCCATAAGATTTGAGGCTTTTTTATTTTCACACTTTTTTTCTGGAGGAACCTTGGGAAGATTGTGGAATGCAGCTGCTAAGCAGATCTCTATACACTCTGAGATAATAAGCTTCAGGAAATCCTGCCAGATGTCTCAAAGCATTGACTTCCTGGTTCAGGACTAGAATGGAACTGTAGAATAGCTAGGGGTGTGACCCAGGCTGGGGGAATTTAGCCACAAAGTGAGAAGAATAGAAGTAATTCCTATTGTCCTTATATTGGGGGGGGGGGATTGGAGGGAAATCACTAATTTCACAAACCAGTGTTGAGCTTGTACATAGAAATCAACCTGAAAATGACTTGTTGATTCATAGGGATCACAAGTCTAGAATTGATAGCATACACCATTTAACAGCATTTAATTGTATGCTTTGAATTTACATAGGCTTGTAAACACATTTAGGCTTTCTCCTGCAGTTTCAATTTCTGGTGTTACCTTAAATTTTTTTTCTTTATTATTATTATTTTTTGGGGGGTTGTATAGGGAATTGAACCCAGGGGCACGAAACCACTGAACCACATCCCCAGCCCCCTTTTTGTTTTTAATTTGAGACAGGGTCTCACTAATTTTCTTTGAGCCTTGCTAAATTTCTGAGACTGGCCTTGAACTCCAATCCTCTTGTCTTAGCCTCTCAAGCTGCTGGGATTACAGGCATGCCCCACTGTACCCAGCCCTAATAGATTTTTAAGTAACTACTTTTCTGTAAGAACTTTCACATTGTCCACATTCATTAGGATTTTAAGACCTCTGGTTTTGTTTTTTGTCTCTATAGATCTGTACTGTGAGCACTAACCATCTGTGGCTATTTAAATAAATAAAAAATAAAATAAGCATTGGTGTTGTAGCTCAGTGGTACAGAGCTTGCCTCTCACGTGTGAGACACTGGGTTCAATCCTCAGCACCATATAGAAATAAATAAAGATATTTGTCCATCTGTAACTCAAAACTGAAATGACATTACATAAATAAATAAAATTTCAGTTTCTGTGTCATAACTAGCCATATTTCAAGTACTCAATAGCCTTATGTAGCTAGCGGTTCCCATATGGGACAGTGCGTGTATAGAATGTTTGAATTACTTCAGAAAGTGCAGTTGGACAGTGCTGCACTATCTCATATTTCCTTTTGTTCAGGTGTCCCTGACCTTTCTCTTAGAAACCCCATGCAACAGGAGCTAGAGTTGCATGGATACTTCAATTGAGTCTTCCCCTAGAGAGAGAAGGCAGTAATTGCAGATTTTCCTGACCCCAAGTGTGACAATCAGATGTCTAGCAATTTCTTTCATTTTGTCCTAAACTTTTCAGAAAGAATGCTAAAGGAGGCCCAATAACTATTACTCAGTGAACCACATCTATCTGCTGTAATAGTCTTGCCTGAATTACATCTAACAATTGCCATTAACAAAAGGAAATTTTAGTTTGTAGAAGACAAAATGGGACATGAAAAGTTAGAAACTGATTTTCATTCTGTTTGATAAACTTGACATTATGAAATTCCCATACATCTTCTACTCAAGTGAACCTCTTATACAGTAAGAGAAATGCTGCCTACTTCAGAATTCTTGTGATCAGGTAATCAAATGTCATTTCTATCTTAATTTCTATTAAAGGAATTTGTATCATTTCATATCTTAGAACATCATAGGTTAATGTTTCAAAATTAGATTAAACCAAAATAGAACCCAGATTGTTTATAACAAGTATAAATAGTTCTTAAAATGTTTGTCACCGTTTCTTTAGCCCATCTGAAGTATTATCCTGTATTTTAAGTAATAAATTTTTAAAATATACATCATAACTTTGGTTTCTAAAGTATACCATGTGTATTTCAAGTTATAAACTAATAAAGCTTCTGTTGTCTAATTTTGGTTTTAAATCTTTGTATCCATAATATCTTGAAATGTTTGTTGAATGAGATGAGTATCTACTAAAATAAATAACTGTACTTTAGTGGAGAAAAATCTCATGAGACTCAGGTAAACTATATAAATATACCAGGTGTGAGGCAGCTGTAGTGGGGCATGCCTATAATATCAAGCGATTTGGAAGGCTAAGGCAAGATGAATGCAAGTTTGAGTCCAGTCTCAGCTACTTAGCTGTCTCAAAAAGGAGATTTTTAAAAAGGGCTGAAATTGTCTTCTAGCAGTACTGTGCTTGCCTCGCATGTGTGAGGCCCTGGGTCAGTCCCCAGCATAAATACACACAGAGACAGATACACGTGGGCACACAGAGATGCCCATAGACAAACACGAAAACACAGACATACACAAGCAGACACACACACACACACACTCACACACTCACACACACACACAACTAGTTGTGCCTAATTCAGACTTCTCCTTTCAGTTGTGTGGAAAAACTGCTACTTAATATTTTAAAAACAAAACACTCGAACCTGAATACCAGCTGAAAATGTGATGTTGATTCCTACATATCATTGTTACTTGTCAAAAGGTTGACTGCTATTTGGTCACCAGCTCATAGGTCATACTCCTGGAGCTCCTGTAGTCACTTAATTTCTAGATTTGTCACTGGGCTTCATATTTATACTCCAAATTTGTTTTGTTGCTAGGAACCTAGCTAAGCACTCACTAAATTAAAAAAAAAAAACTATTTAAAAAGTAATCCCATTCTACCTTAGGAAACTATTTTCAAAACAAATTTTCATGTGCTCACTCATCTTGTCAACAAAAAGATATCTATTTCCTTCCTGATAGCTGCACCTCTGGTGTTCAGACCAAGGGTTCCAATGCAGACAAGCTATTTCAGTCTTGATTTGAGTGTCTTAAGCTCTAGAATCACTAATAGGATTTTGAGTAACAGGGCCAGAAAGTATAGCAAACAGCCCAGCTAGAGGCAAGCCTTCTTTAGCCATATAGTAATTCCAAAAATTTGACCTCAGTATTCTTCTGTTGTTTTTAAATCATTTACACAATGCTGTTCAATACCCCACTGTATCACTTTCAGATATAGTAGAGCATCTACCATAGATTCATATTCAACATTTGTCTTATAGGACAGTACATTCACATGTATCGTATTACTTTACATGTTTTAAATCTTTAACTGTATAAAAGTTTAGTTTGTTATCTGCATTTAAAGATGAATAAATTGAAAGCTGAAAGAGGTGAAACAACTTGTCAGAGGGAGTTATCATTTTGAAGGAGATCAAATCGAGGTATTTTGTCACAGTAGATACTTAGTAAGTAGAAATTATTGTGTTTTAGGTATTCTTGCTTGCATTTTTTGTTTATCTAATTTAATTTTAAAACAGTCAATGATGAAAGTATTTTTATCTCAGATTTACAGGTGAAGAGACTTGGACACAAAACAATAAAATCATTAGCCTGATGGGCTGGGGATGTGGCTCAAGCAGTAGCACGCTCGCCTGGCATGCGTGCGGCCCGGTTTCGATCCTCAGCACCACATACCAACAAAGATGTTGTGTCCGCCGAGAACTAAAAAATAAATATTAAAAATTCTCTCTCTCTCTCCTCTCTCACTCTCTCTTTTTAAAAAAAAAAAATCATTAGCCTGAGGTTATACAGTTAGTACCAGAGCCCATGCTCTTAACCACACTTCGTTGTTCACCTCCCACATTCAGTGTTCTTTCTACTACATCATGCTGCCTCTCTAGATATATTGGGAGGGATCAGGTACAGGAGCCTTTAAAAGAATAGAAAACTGTTGGGACAGTCTTGAGATAGTGACAAAAGTCTGGCATAGGTAACAGTTGTCCAGAGAAGGGATGGGATAGAGCACATAGTCAGTTGGGAATCCATGGCTTCCTATACCATTCACTTAAAGCCTGGTTTCCTTCTTGGACTAGGATGTAATTGAAATTGTGTTTTGATTATTTGTTTTTCAGTGTTCTGGATCAAACTCAGGGCCTCAACCTTGCTAGCTAGGCAAGCACTCTACCACTGAGCAACATCCCCAGGGCCCAAAATTCTAGGGCTATCCTTTTACAATTTTTGGCATTTGCCCATGGTAGTTCAGTACACAGATACCAAGTACTATTTTATTTATTTAAGTTGTATTGTTTATTTTTTTCTAATTTGAGCACAAATCTTCATTAATTACATTTTGATATGTAGAAATTTTAATAATTATACGATAGAAATTTTAACACTCGTGCCAAAATTTAGAGTTTAGGAGTTTATGTTTTGTGTTAAGAGAGTTAATAAACAAAGATAGCTTCCCAAATAGCAGGAAATAATTTATGGACTGCTTCTTGTCTTGCAGTAGCACTTGTACCATGGGCTTAGTCCTGCCTCTCTGGAGTGACACCCTAATTCATTTGGATGGTGATGGGTAAGTGCTTTCCCTTTTAATTTTCCTTCAGAAAGCCAAGAGGTAGGGTTCCATCTTAGTGAACTAGTCAACTGAGTGGGAGGCCCAGTATGCCCGACTGAACAAACATGTCAGTAGCTCAGTAGGTGCTTTTAAACTCCTGTTTTGTAAAGTGAAGTAAAAATACAACTTTCCAATTTCTTATTCCTACCATAGTCAGCCAGATAAAGAAGGAGTAGTTTATTGCTCACTCTTTAATCTGAGCTTGTAGGCTATTGCAATGCCCTCCCAGAGAATATGTTCTGTTTCAAATAACCTCTTGCAGCCTCTGCCAGCTGTCAGCCTACAGTATAACTCTTTCCTGTGCCAGTTCCTTCCACTGACCTTCCAACCCCCACCTTCTGGTGTTTTTAGAATGTGTCCCCAAGAGACTAAGATGTTTGCTCCAGTTTATAAAACCAGGGTCAGGTTTGCTAACAACCCAGAAGACTTCCAAATGGAAATATACAGAAGAAGAGTTTGACCATATCTACAACTGGGAAACTTTTAATTGCCTACCAGTTTATCGAAGCTTTTCAGTCAAGCCTTAGTTAACTTCTAAGTGATGTACTTGGTAATTCCTTCTATTGAACCAGCTATTGCTAGCCCAGAAAATAGGCTTGAAAACTCAAAACTGAACTAATTTACCCTTATTTGTGAATTTTTGTTTTGTTCTCTTTTGTCTTTAGTGGGTTCAGCGTGTCAACAGATAATAGAGTTCACATATTCAAACCTGTATCTGTGCAGGCAATGTGGTAAGATGACTTTTAATACCTCTACAAAAAGTGGTTTTTTTTTTAGCTATTCTATAAGTGTTTTAAAATATGTTATTAGAGTAATACTTTGTGAGAATTAATATTTGAAAGGTCCAATTTACTGTTAAAATGCTGTATGCTTTGTTTAGGATTTTTGTTATCGGTTTGACCATCACAGTTAAAGATGACCTAAAAGTGCAATTTTTAAATTGTCACAGTGGAAGGCCTTGAGCATTGGTCTACAAGTGAAATCTAGAGGTATTCTTAGGCTCTGGTGGAGACAGTGGATCAAATACAGCAGATTAGAACTGAGTTTTATAGGAACACATTGACTAAGTTACTTAGCAGTCTTAAGAGCCAAGTCTAGAACACCTTACTGCTATGTATTAGCTCCCTGGTACCAAAAATAAATAAATAGTGAGATAGGGACCATAAATGAGGTATTTTTAGGTATATTTTGGGAAGGACTACAAAGCAGTCTTAATTCAAGTAATAACCTTACATCAAGTTTTGATGTTCTGAAGTAGACTGACTATTCCTCACTGTGTTAGCTTGTATTTCCTAGAGGAAGAAAACATTAATTATCCAGTATATCACACTAAACTGGCCCCTACCTTTGAATCTGTATAATAAAACAAATTCTCTAAGAATTTGGCTTACTTTGAGTAATAGAACATATTTTTAAAGATTCTGCAACTTTATTTTTAAACCACAATCTTTAATAAAAATGGACTATTAAAAATTTTTAATTTATATAATATGGAATTGACAAGGATTTAAGGAATAGACAATCATATGCTATTGATAGAAGAATAAACTAGGAAAGCCTTTCTGAAGAGTGATTTGCCAGTGTGCCTTATCATTTTGCATGCCCTTTGACCTAGGAATTCTACTAAGAATTTACTCTGCAGTAATAACTATGGGTGTGTGCAAAGATTTATATAAGAATGATTGTTGATGTTCTAATAATAGCAAAAAATAGGAAACAATTTAAATGAAAAATAAAGATCAGTTAATTTATGATACATATGTTATTGAATATTATGCAGCCATAGAAAATGATCTAACTTAAGAATATTGAGGGGTTGGAGTTGTGGCTCAGTGGTAGAGCACTTGCCTAGCATGCATGAGGCACTGGGTTTGATTCTTGGCACCACATAAAAATAAACAAATAAAATTAAGATATTGTGTCCATCTACAACTAAAAAAAATATTTCTAAAAAGAGAATATTGATATGGAAAGATGTTGATAAAGGCTGTAAATTAAAGGATAAATGGTATGAAAAATAAATTAAAAAGCATTTTTAAGAAAAAGATGTAAACAGACTGACCACAGAGTTTTATATAACTGTCCTTTAGGAGAGACACATTAATTTGTAGCATTAAGACATTTTATTTGACAGATACTAATTGAGCTCCAGCAATGAGATGAGCCTTCTTTTAGGTACTTCAAATACATCAATAAACAAAACATTGAAAGGTCTTTGTTCCTGTGTAACTTACTTTCTACCATTTCTGACTTAAGCTCTTCCTAAGCATATAACCAAAAAATACTTTTCAGTTTTGTTTACCCTTCATGGGAGTTCAGAATCAGAAGTCTCAGACTAACCAAAGCTCAAATCTGAGCCAGGCCCAGCGGCATATGCCTATAAACCCAGCAGTTTTGGTGACCAAGGCAGGAGGTTCAAAAGTTCCAGCCCAGCCTCAGCAATTAGTGAGGACCTAAGCAATTAGCAAGACCTGTCTCAAAAATAAAAAGGGCTAGGGATGTGACTCAGTGGTTAAGTGCCCCTGGGTTCAATCCCCAGTACCAAAAAAAATATAACCAAAACTGTTCTTAGAAGGTATTTCATGTGTATGAATAAATGGTTTTTAAAAACTAGGAGACCAAATCACCATAAATGATAAAACATCATTAAATAAGTACTTTCTGGATATTGAAGGGATGTCCTCATGGCTTAGGGACATCTATGTATGTGATCTCTGTGGAGCCTCCAGGAACCATGGGGAAATATATGCTGTTTTGTAATGTCTATGTCAAGAGGAAGAAATCTTGGGCTGGGGATGTGGCTCAAGTGGTAGCGCGCTTGCCTGGCATGCGTGCGGCCCGGGTTCGATCCTCAGCACCACATACAGACAAAGATGTTGTGTCCCCCATAACTGAAAAATAAATGTTAAGATCTCCTCTCTCTCTCTCTCTTTAAAAAACAGGACAAATTTTTTTTAAAAAAAAAAGGAAGAAATTTTTATGTAGTATTGTTGAGATCTTTAGTTTTCTAGTAATACAGCCCCAGTGTGGTTCCAACTATATGATCTTGAGCTCTATAGGTACCTAGATCTTTTTCACTAATGGATTGTTAGTCTCTTCCCCATCCCCAACGTTAAGGTTACATCATATCTTTTAGTAAATGTCTAAATAATATGGGCAATACCCATATCATCAGGATTAGAGGATCTTGAATTCCAGGGAGTAGATTCTCCAGAGGTCAAATGCTATAGAATTTAAAAATCAGAAGACTTTGAGATACACATGGGTTATTGGCCTTTTAGTACCCCACCATTCTGCGGTGCTCATTTCCCAGTGTATCTTTCAGGTCTGCTCTACAGAGTTTACACAAGGCTTGTGAAGTAGCCAGAATGCATAACTACTACCCAGGCAGCCTTTTTCTCACCTGGGTAAGTTATTACGAGAGCCATATCAACTCGGATCAATCCTCAGTCAATGAATGGAATGCTATGCAGGATGTGCAGTCCCATCGGCCTGACTCTCCAGCTCTCTTCACAGACATGTAAGTAGCTTGCTGAGAGTTGGGAAGGTCCTCTCTGTTCTATGCTAGGCAGCATGTTCTTCCCTGATTTCTTATCTTTAGGATTCAATCTTATCCACTTTTATTAGACACTATCTACATCACATCTCTGCCACACTCTTCAACCCTGTTAATTCTGCTGCCTGCAAAGGCATGAAGAATTTTACACCTGAGTACAGTGGAGGCTCCACAATCAAGAATTGCAATACCATCAAATCGATTATTCAGATTCTACTAATTTGAAATCTGAGTTTAAAGGAGTTAGGCTGAAGTTTGTATTTGCTTTGTCTGTGAAAGGAATATTAGGTAAGCAAATTAATGGCAAGAAACTTAGATGTTTGTCATACTTAACAAGATGTTTCCAATCAATTTGAAAGAATACATAGGTTCTAAGCTGATTTTGAACTTATTACTGTTTAAAAATTTTTTTAGAACATCCTATCAGTCCACCACTGCCTTAAGTCCTTGTCAGTGAGATTTTATTAAATCTCCCTGGTGCACTGTGAGTTGGATGAAGGCCTAAGGTGGAGCTGATGTTTATTTCCTTTTTAGGTTTATGTGTTGAAACTTCTGTGACTATTTTGGAAATTTTTTTACACTTAGTTCCTGCTTTGGAAATTAAGTACGGTGTTTATTTTTCTCTGAATTGGTCTTTCTGCACTTACAAGGTATTCTACAGCTTAAAAGAAAAGTAGTTACATACTATCTGACCTTACAGTCAGGATTTGTCTTAAGATTCCTAAAGTCTTGCCAAAACAGTTCGTGATTTTTAAGAAAAAAAAAAAATGAGCTCAATGCAGATAATAGTCTAATAAATAACTTTTATTAGAAAAGGTGAAATATCCAAGAATTGTATGCAAGAAACAGTCAAAAAAGCACTAGAGGGGCTAGAGTTGTGGCTCAGTGGTAGATCGCTTGCTTAGCATGTGTGAGGCACTGGGTTCGAGTCTCAGCACCTCATACAAATAAATAAATAAAATAAAGGTCCATCAACATCTAAAAAAAAAAATATTATAAGGGCTGGGGATGTGGCTCAAGTGGTAACGCACTCACCTAGTATGCGTGAGGCACTGGGTTCAATTCTCAGCACCACATAAAAACAAAGTAAAGATATTGTGTCCACT